TCCCCTTTGCCCTTCCTATCTCCATTACTATTTCCCTTCTTCACTCCCTCTCACTCTCTCCTAATCTCCTTTTCTCTATCTCACCTACTCTAGCTCTCTCTCCCCTCCCTCCATCTCCTTTGCTTCCTCTATTTCTCTCACCTTTCTCCCTCCTCTCTCCCATTGTCTCCTGTTCTCTCCTTTCCCCTCTTTATCTCTCCTTTACACTCCCTCTTCCTTTTACCATCCCTCACTCCCTTTCTCCCTCCCTCCCACTATCTATCTCTCGTTTTCCTCTTCCAATCTCCTTCTCTATCCTCCCTGTCCCTCCCTCCCTCTCTTTCTCTCCCTCTCCTTCTCTCCCTCTTCATAGCTCTTCCCCTGTTTCTCTCCCTATCTCCCTCTCATTCTCTCTCTTTTCTCTCTACCCCTCTCTCACCATCTTTATCTCTCCCTCTCTTTCCCTCTCCCTCTTCTTTCTATCTCTCTTTCTTCTCTCCCCCTCTTCTCTCTGTCCCTTTCTTCTCCTACCTCTCACCCTCTCTCTACCTATCTCCCTCTTTTCCTCTCCCTATCTATGTCCCCCTATCTCACATCCAATCTCCCTCTTCCTCTCTCTCCCTTTCTACCTCTCTCCCTCTCCCTCTCCATCCCTTTCTCTTTCTCTCTCCCTATCTCTCCTCCCTTTCTCCCTCTCCTTGCCTCCCTACCTCCCTCTCTCTCCCTCCCTCCCTATCTCTCTTTTTCTCTCCCTCCTCCTCTCTATCCCTATCTCTCTTTTTCTCTCCCTCCCCCTCTCTATTCCCCCTCTCCCTCCCTCTCTCTTTCCTCCCTATTTCTCTCCTTCTTTCTCCTTATTTCTTCCTTGCTCTCCCTCTCCCTCTCTCTCTCTTCTTATCTCTACTCTCTCTTTTTATCTCTCACTCCCTCTCTCAACTCTCTCTTACTCTCTCCCTCTCTCTCATTTCCTCTCTTTTCCTCCCATTCCCTTTCTCTTTCCCTCCCACTTTTTCTCTCCATCCCCCTCTCCCTCTCCCTCTTTCTCTCCCTCTCTCTTTCCCTTCCTCTCTTTCCCTACATCCATCTATCTATCTATCTATCTATCTCTTTCCTCCTTTTTTTCTTTGACTCTCCCTCACTCTCTCTCCCTCTTTATCCCACTCTTTCTCTCCTTTTCTCCCTCTCTCTTTCTCTCTCTCTCCCTATCTTCTTTGCTCTTCCTCTTTCCCTCTCTCTCGTCTCCCTCTTTCTCTCCTTATCTCTCTCTCTCCCCCTATCTCTCAATCTCCCCTTCTCCCTCTCTTTCTCTCTCTCTCCCTCCTCATCTCCCCTGCTCTTCCTCTCTCCCTCCCGTTTTCTCCCTATGTCTATCCCTCCCTCTCTTTCTCTCTCCCCCTCTCTTCCACTCTCTCCCTTTCTCTATTCTTCCCCTCTCTCACGCTCTCCCTCTCCTTCTTTCTTTATCTCATATTTTCTCCCCCTCTCTGTCCCCTTGTTGTCTTTCTCTCTTAGCTTTTCTCTCTTTCTCTCCCTGTCCTAATCCATCTTTCACTCTTTCCCTCTTTCCTTCTATCTCTTCCCTCTCTCCCCCTCCCACCCTCCCTTTCCTTCTCTCCTACACTCTCTATATCTCCATCTCCCTCTCCCTTTCTATCTCTCATTCCCTCTCCCTCCCTCCCTCTCCCTCCCTCCTTGTCCCCCTCCCTCTCTCTACCTCTCCCTCACACTCCTTTTCCTTCTCCCTTTCTCACTCTCACCCCCTTTCTCCCCCTCTCTCCCTTTCTTCCTTTTTTCTTCTCCTTCTCTCTCTCTTTTTATCTCTCGTTCCCTCTCTCTCCCTCCTTCCCACTCTTTCCCTCTCGCCCCTCTCTCCCCCATCCTTTCTCTACCTCTCCCACTCTCTTCCTTTCCCTCTCCATTTCTCCCTCTCTCTCCCTATCTCTCTCTATCCTTCTCCCCCCACCGTCTATCGCTCCCTCCCTTTCTTCCTTTCTTTCCTTCTCTCCCCCCAGCCTCTCTCTCCATTCCCCCTCTCCCACTACCACCCTCTCTCTCTCCCTCACTTTTCCTCCCTCTCTCAATGTCTCTCCCTCTCTTCCTCCTCCTTCTTCCTCCCTCCCTCCCTCTCCCTCTTTTTTAGTCTCTCTCCCCCTCTCCCTCTTGTTTTCTTTCTTTCTCACTCCCCTTCTCTCAAAAGGAGGAAAATAGCTTCAAAGAAGCATGACCTATACGACTGCAATGGATTAAGAGTTCGACGAGTTAGTTATAAGCATTTATGAGCTAGTACTATCATATAGGCTTGTGCTAAAACTCAATTATTGTTATTATTTTATTCCCGATAGAGACTAAGGATATTATTTTCATTTCTAATTTTAAACAAGTTTTTCATTTTTAAGAATAATGGTTATTTCTTTTAAAGATGAAGTTTTACATGGAAATGATTTAATTTATATGTTTTGAACATAGTATAACTTCCATATATATATATATATATATATATATATAACATAAATGCCGAAAGACTCGAATGATCTAAACAAAAATTATATGTGGCATTATCAACTTGGCCATATAAATAAGAATTTTATGTCTAAACTACTTATAAATAGATACCTAGAATCATTTGATGATGTTTATAAATCTTGTTCACTTGGCAAAATGACATAAATCCGTTTTTAGTTAAAAAGGAGAAAGGTCTACTAATTAGTTTGGTCTTACACATAGAGATGTATTTGGGCCTATTTCACCTACGCAAGAAAAAGACATGATCATTACATAACCTTTACCGATAGTAGATTATGTTTTGATTGTAAGACATAAGTCTAAGGCATTTGAAAAGTTAAAAGAATTTAGACTTAGAGTCAAGTAATGAACTAGTAAAACTTTAAGATATTTCGATTAGATCGAGGTGATGAATACTTAAGCATTAAATTTTTAAATCACCTAAAAGAGAATAAGTTTCTCTATCAATGGACATCACATGTTAGACATGTTTTGGTCCATGATGAGTCAAATTAATATCCCTACTTTATTTAGGATAGATTCTCCTTACTGCAACCTTCACTTTGAAAGGGTTTTAATTATGTCTAATTGAAAGGAAAAAAGTGAATTTATCTCTCCTTAAGGTTTGGAGCTATAAGGCATATATCAAACAATTTGGCAAAGATAAGCTAAAGACCAAATCTACAAATTGTAAATTATTAAGATATCCAAAAAAACAAATAGATATTATTTTCCTACCACTAGAAGAAAGTATTGTTCTTGATTAGGCACGTTGTATTCCTTGGGAAGGAATTTATTGATGTTACAAATAGTGGGAGGAAATTTTAAACTCAATAAGATTTGAGTAGACTCATAAATTCATAGTCCATTAATAGAACCCCAAGTAGGTAGGTTACAAGGTGTTATAACTACTTGATAAACATATACATAAGAATTTCATAAGTATAAAAGAAGTTCATTAAAAGTCAAAAAGATATGATCTTCTTGTCTCAACACATGGTGATGTGTGCCCTAAAAAGAGATGACGAAGCTAACACTTATGAAATTACAATGTTAGAAATTGATTCAAAGAAATGACAAATGAAAAGGATGTATAGATGACACACCTTGATGGTTCTAAAGAATGTACAAATAAGATTTCCTAAATGCAAAGGTCAATTTATGGACTTGAGCATGCCTCTAGGAATTAGAGTTAATGTTTTAATGAAACAATCAAAGAGTTTATTTTTTCACAAAAATAATGATGAACCTTATGTATACAAAAGGTTAGTAGGAACCTAGTCACGATTATTCTACATGAAAATTAAACAAACTATTTCTCAACTATAACATTATGTTGTTGCAATCTAAAAAAGCTTAGGTATTCAAGAGTTCGTTCCTAAATGACTTGGAAGGGTAGCCTACATTCTAATAGTCGAAATCACTTAGAATATGAGGGTCTCCTAAGGTAGATACATTGACATCATACTAAAAGATTTATTATGAAAAAATCAAAGAAATGATTTATTACAAGTCACAAATGCTTAATGGCCTACCGCATAGGATCCATAGTGTAAGCTAAGGAACCAAAGGTCTCATCAACGATACAAGTATGTACTACAATGCTACCATTTGATTGGAGAGATTATCAATTGTTTTAATATGAGAATAGAAAAGTTCCACACCGATGATAACATAACTAACCCCTTGACTAAGCCTTTATCATAGTTTAAATATACGACCATTACTCGATTGTCGAGAATAAGGAACATGGTCAGGTTAACTCTAGTTCAAGTGGGAGATTGTTAGAGTAGGTTACCGAAGATCCAACCTTGATTGGATGATTTGAGCTATTGTAACATTACATTATTTATTTTATTAATAATAATAAAAGTCTTTCTACTAATTCTTATTGTTTATTATTATTTATTGAATAGAATTATATAGAAGTCCATATAATATGCATTTGTATTAATGATTGATTGAAAGATGTGAGATAAAGAGAGATTCAGAGCTTTGAAGTGAAGTCTGGAAATGAAACACTCGCCTATTCCTATATTTAAGTCAATCAAGCCATTGCCTCCAATTCCTTTTTTGAGTAGGCATTCATTCTAGTCTTTTCGCACTTACGTCAGCCTCTTCTTGGGGCTTTCAAAATTTAGAATCAGGCCTAGTTGCAAGCCTAAATCGCAATGTCATCGAAAAGGCAAGCAAGTCAAGTAACTGACTCATCAATCGATTTCCCACCCAAGCGAGTCGAGGAAATGGGAATGAATGCCGCCATATAAGGCTTTTAGAAAGAAATGCCTTCTCCTCTCCCTCCTTTGCTTGTTTAGTTTAAGCATTTTAAACTAGGCTAGCTATTAGCTTAGTGCGACGCGCACCCTCGAGTAAGTTGACTTCTTTTCTCGCTTTCTAGACGGACGAAGGAAATTCCCTATCTACGATTTGGCCTATTCTTCCAAGGCTTTCATAACTCGGACATTGAATCCATTTCATATGATGAATTGCCCGAAGGTTATCCTCTAGTCATTACCGGTCTAAGCGAAAGTAGGGCGGAGATTCAACCAACGATCCGATCTAGTCATTTCAGTGCGATTAGCGGAGAGAAGGAAAGTGAGTACAATAAAAGCTTCTTCAACCAACCGAGATGCCTATTCAAGATCTGACTTCGAAAAGGAATAGAAAAAAGAAAGTGAAACTCGCGCCTAGCTATCGATTGGAAAAATGAACCATTTTCTTCATTTTAGTTTTGAGAGGTTTATCCGTCGCTGTCGTCCCTACCCGCTCCAATCGATGTATTGGAAAGATCGAGTCTCTAAGATTTCCCTCCGGGTGGGGAGGGAGTTGGATGCATCAGTCGGTTAAGAAATCCCTTACTCATTGATCCTAGCCGGTATGAGTTCTTCCCCTTCCCTCCCTCAATCTCTTCTCCTGCCGGAATCGAGTCAAGATCTTTTCTCATTCATTCCTTCCCCCTTTCACTCGAAGGCAACTATCCTAGATGCGAAAAATTGAAAACCTTAGAAGGAAGCCAAATGTAACATTGATAAATTAGGTGAAGGTGCGAAAAGAGAGGGATTCGAATCCTCGGTAAACAAAAGCCTACATAGCGAGTTCCAATGCTACGCCTTGAACCACTTGGCCATCTCTCCTACATAATGATTAGGATAATGATTTTGGCCTCGAAAGCGAGTCAATCCCAATTTGAGAATGAAGATACCTATCAATGTAACTATTGATGTAATTATTCCAACTCTATTTAGTATCATACATATTAGATTAGATGTTGGATAGGTACGGTGCATATAATTAATTCTAACTATAAAAAACAGAATAGAAAAATATATAAGGAAATTGAAAGAGAAAAGAGTATTGATGAAGGAAGAAAGTGCGAGTAAGCGCTATTCCTTCTCAAGAAGCAGGACCCGCGCACCAAACTTCATGTATTCCCCTAGAGCCTTGAGTAATAGGATTAAGGTAGTAGAAAATAAAAAAACTATCTTCTTCCCTTACTCTATTACAGCCTAACGAGAATAGCGAGGAGGGGAGGCTAGGCAATCTTGACAGAGCTAATATTGGAGAGAAAGAAAAACCGCCCTGGATAAAGCTCCATCTAAAAAAGAATAGAATAGGCAAAGCCTTCTTTCCGTAGGTTACTAGACTTCGCGAATCTAGATCTCGAGAGGGGAAATATGAGTCTTTCGCTTTTTTTGAAAAACCCTTTCGAATATCCTAGTCAAAAATGCCCACGAACCAAATCCCGAGGATTATCAACTTCTTTGACGAGAGGCGGGACGAACTGGATATCCACCTAGACGAGGTAGAAAAAGAAAGATAATAACTAGAATTTGTGGATTACGAATCCATTTCCCTTTCATCATTATGTCGAGTAGTCAAGTTGGTCATGATATCATAGAACACGGCCCCGACTTTATCTATATGAAAGAAATTCTTTGGATATGATGATAACGAGTAGCAGACTTCTTAAAATTCGATAAACATGGTAGCCCCATTGGACTGGATTGAATCCTTACTTCCTAGTACCAAACCTTTAACTCGTTCCCACAATCATCTGTCTAGTATATCTCGGATAACCCAAAATACTAGATGTACTCTCACCAGGAACTGGATTTCAACTTGAAGACAAGACTACATAATCACATCCACTCTTTCTTCTGCTCATCGTACCCAATACAATGTATGTATCGCCTTCTTTTACACAGGTGTCGTAAACAAGGAAGGGCACCGACTCATCGAAGTATACATCTTGAAATTTGAATTATTTGCTTAATTAAAAACTATAAGCCTAAAAAAAAAAGTAAGTAGAAAGGGGCTTGGCTTATAGTACCGATATCCGAGCCGGTGTGGAACAACTTATTCGGATCAATTAATGTGCTAGCTCGGAATCATCGTCCGTATGTAGTGAAATCAAAATACCCTATACACCCTTTAGCCCCTCTTGTTCGAGTAAGACTTTATAGTCATCCCCTAAACATAGAGTTAAATGCTGGGAAAAAAGAAGAAGAAGGCGTGCTAAGAAGTGAAAGAGAGAGATCTTCCCTCAATCTAGAGGTCGAGCGGCACTAGACTCGGATTTTCTTCTAAAAAGTAAGGATAGACAAGCTAAAGGTATCAACACCCATGAGACTAGTGAAACGTCAATTTATCTTTACATTGGCCTCTAAAATAACTAGCGGAAGCGGAGCAACCTTTTTCCTCTTAGGACCTCGCCCATTAGTCAAGAAAAAGCTCCCGCCTCCCTTTCCAGCCGGATAGCAAGACTCGACAAACTAATTGAAAAGCCGTCGAGTACCTATATATAATGCAAGCGCCGAGGATGAAATATCCTAGCCTAGGCCTAGTATAGTAGGAGTATGCCCGAATTGGATCTCGGTAGGAGTAGTAAGGGTTAGGCATATCGCTGCCATTAGCACATTATCATCTAAATTTGTAGATCGGATCTTTCTAGGTTAAGTACTTCTCTCTTGGTACCTAGACACTTTGAATCAATCCCCTCTTTCTATTAGTTAGACACTCACTGTAGAATAGCCCATGCATCCACTAGGAAAGAGAAAAGATCCGGATCCGATTTGATAATAACTCTGTGCATAAAAGTTGATTTAGAAACTGACCTAGTAGCTTGCAATATCCGATTGTCAAGTTCCTTTTGTTTTGTGTCTGTGCTTGGGGTTCTTTTCTCTTTCATAGAGATCTTCCCACTCTTCTTTCCTTGGTACTTTCATTTCAGCAAGTACTTTCCTAAGTTAGTGCCAAAGTGAATCTTGATCTATATTCAAGGTATGCCCTTTCCACTACTAGATAAGGGGAGGAACATAATTTCGTGCTCCGTGAATGAGGAGATAAGTTAATAGGAAAGTCTCACAAAAAGGATGCAAGTCATCAGTTCTTTACTTCTAGTATAGGCTTTAGGCCACATTATCGGGATTGGCTTACTTCGTACTAAATGCCCTACCGAGGGTCCCGTCTCGAGAGAACTCACGATGAGCTCTTAGGGATTAGTCGAACCGGGTCCAGTTAGTCTTTTCAAATCCTATCCCGCCTGTAAAAAAAGTAAGCACCCTAGAAAGAAGAAGATCATATAAAACATTTCCCTTTAGGGGTGGGCATAGAATAGAGCTAGACTTCACAAAGGAATATCTTAAGTTATAGCATTCTCGAGAATGGACATTGACTATATTTGGCTAGACTTGTGAGTGCTATGTTCATACTATAAGATATCGGTAGGAGATTCATACCTATTAGCATTGTAATGCCAAAGCAAGAACTTAGATGATTAATGCTCGGACTTGACTTACCACGAGAACCCATTTTGTTTAGTCTATGGGAATCTCATACAAGATGGGTACAACTAGTCCTTCAATATGAAGTCATCATGATTATCTTATTAGAGAATTTATATACTTAAAAACTCATTTTGATGGACCAAGTAAAGGCTTGCACGTGAGCGATTCATTGGATGCACTATGAATCTAATGGAGGTAAGTGAATGATAAAGATTGGACATGCCATTCCTTGTATGCTAAACGAGTTATCACATTATGATTCAATGAATGTCTACTCAAGAAATCTATGGCCATAGTAGGAGTATACCAATAGAGTATAGTTGGTTCACCCTAAGAGCTAAGACATTTGGGAATCAAAGAAAACTTGTGTAATCATAATCAAATAGACTAATAGCTAAGTTCAATATCCATAAGATAAATTGACATGAGGACTAAATTGTATGGTAAACATGCTCGTGAAAGGTAATTATGGATTAATTAATCCTCCTATAGAATTGAGCAGATCATGATGTCTTGTAAGAGACCAATTTTGATTTATGTATCAAGAGACAAAAAAGGTGTCTTTTATTCTTGATACATTTCCTATATATCTTGGAGCCTATGGAGTCACATGCATAAGTTTAAGCATTCACATAATAAAAGAGAGGTAAAGATGTTGAAAAAAGTTTTCAATTTTGAAAGTTTTCTATTTTGGAAAAGGTTTCCAAAAATGAAAAGTTTTTTATTTTAGAAATTAGATTCCTAATTCGAAAGTCAATTCCAAATTTGAAAGTTACCTAAAAAGGAAATTAGCTTTCTAATTTTGGTTTAAGGGTAATCCGAGAAATTTCTTCCCAAAATAGGCCTCTTAAATATCTAACCTAATTTATTTGGATAGTCCAAATTAATTAGTAATTAATTAGGCAAAAGGAGTTTGAGTCAATAGGTTTAGTTTAAAAGCTCGAAAGATATTTTGGTGGGAGGATAAACATGGGCCTTATTAGATAAGGATCAAGGTTTGAAAGGATAAGATCAAAAAAGCCCATATGCATAATAACTCCTAATCCTTAAAGGATTTGGAAGCGACAATCAAGAGTTTACTTTGGGACACATTGCCACCACTTCCTTGTCTTTGAAGGACAATGAAGACATTCCTCATATAAATATAAGAGGAGGTGTGAAAAATAGAGTGATGGAACTAGGGCTACACAAGACAAAAGAAAAATAAGGAGAAAATAGTTTGCTCTCCTCCCCAAATGTGCCAGCTCTCCCCTCTCTCTTAGGGTTATCACAAAATATCCTTAAATAGATTTCTAAACTAAAAACAATAAGCAAGTCGGAAAAGGTGGAGCTAGCACTTTACTAATTTAGAGTGATTCTTGTGTGGGTGCTTGGCCTATATGGATTATCGATGGAGGTCGGATGCTTAGATGACTCCCTTTCTACAAAAGTTAAATTCTTTACTTATGCTTTAATTCATGTATATAAGCAATAACTTGATCTTAAGAGCCTTATATCGAGGAAAATTTTTGTTTTACTCTATACCTCCATAGGATGCATGATCTTTCACCTCTCTCCCTCTCTCCTTCCTTCTCCTACTCTCCCTCTCTCTCTCCCACTATCTCTCCCACTATCTCTCTCTATTTCTCTCCCCTCTTTATCCCCCTCTCCTTCCCCTTCCCCTTCTCCCTTCCTCATCTACTCTCCCTCTACCTCTCTCTCACCTCTTATCTCCTCTTCCTATCCCACTCTTTATGTCTCTCTCCCTTTCTCTCCCTCCCTTTCTCACCCCATTCTTTTTTCTCTCCCTCCTTCTCTCCTTCTCCTCCTCTACCGGTCCCAGTCCTAGTCCCTCTCTCTTTTCCCTCCCCCTCTCTATCTCTCTCTCCCTCCCTCTCCTCCTCTCCCTCTCTCTTTCTTTCTCTCTTCCTCTTCCCTTCTCCCTCCCCGTCCTACTCTTCCTATCTCTCTCCCTTCTCCTTTTCTCTCTCTTTCTCCCCCTCTCTCCTCTTCTCTCTCCTAATCTCTCTCTTCCTCCCTCATTCTCCCTCTCCTTCTTCCACTCTCTCCTTCTCTCTCTTCATATCCCTCTCTTCCTATCCCTTTTATTCTCTCTCCCACTTTATCTCCCTCTCTCCTTCTCTCTTTCTCTCTATCTCTTACTCCCTCTCTACTCTCCCCCTCCCTCTATCTCCTACTCTCTTTGTCCTTCTCTATCCATCTATCTCCTTCTTTCTCTCTTACCCTCTCTCCCCCTCTCCCTCCCTCTCTCTCCTCGCTCTCTATCCCTCTCATTCTAGCCCTTTCTCTCTTACTCTCTTCCTCCCTCTCCTCCTCCCTCTCACTCTAGCCCTCTCTATCTCTTTCCCTTTCCCTCTCTCCCTCCCTCCCTCTCACTCTATCCCTCTTTCTATTTTTCCCTTCCCTCTCTCCCCTCCCTTTAACTCTAACCCTCTCTCTCTCTTTCCCTTCCCCTCTCTCCCTCCCTTTTCCCTCTCGTCCATCTTGCTCTTCCTCACACTATCCTTCTCTCTCCCCTTCCTTATCTCCTCTTGCTCTCCCTCACTCCCTTCTTCTATCCCCCTCCCTCTCTTCTTCTCTCCCTCTCTCTTACTCTCTCCCACTATCTCTTTCCCTCTCTCTTCACCCTCTCCTTCATTCCTTTCCCTCTCCCTCCCTCTCTCTATCGCCCTCTCTTTCCTTCTCTCTCTCTTTCTACCTCTCTCTCTCTTTCCCTCTCTCTCCCTCTCTTAATCTTTTTTCCTCTCTCTCCATATCTCCCTCTCCCCCTCATTTTCTCTCTCTACCTCTCTCTCCCTCTATCTCTCTCTTTACCTCTTTCACTTTTCCTCCCTCTCCCTTTCTCTCTCCCCCCTACTCTCTCTCCATCTCTCCCTCCTTCCCTTCTCCTTTTTCCCTCTCTCTTCCCGTATCCTTCATTCTCTCCATCTCTTTATCTTCTTCTCTCTATCTCTCTCTATCTCCCTCTCTCTCCCTCTTCCCCCTCTCTCCCTCTCCCTCCCCCTTCCTTCCTCTCTCTCATAACACCTATCTTTTATGTGTATCTATCTCTCTCCCACTCTTTACCTCTCTCTCTCCCCTCCCTTCCTCTCACCTCTCTTTATCCCACTACCTTCCTTTCATCTTCTCTCTCTATCCCACTTTCTCTTTCCTTAATTCCCTCTCTCTCTCTCTCTCTCTTTATCTCTCCATTTTTTAATCTCTCTCTCCCTTTTCTCCCTTTTTACCTCCCCTCTCTCTCCCTCTTTAGTTTGTTCTCCCATTTTCTCTCTCTCTCTCACCCTCTCTCTATCTACCTTTTTTGTTCTCTCGGTCCCTTTCTTTCACTCTCTCTCCCTCTCCCTCTCTCTCTTTATCCCTCCCTCTTTCCCTCTTTTCATTAATCTTATTCTTTATTTCTCTCCCTCTCTCCTTCTATCTATCCTTCTCCTCCTTCTCTCCCTCTCCCCCTCTCCCTCTCTATCCTACTTCTTTCCTCTCTCTCCTATTACCTATCTATCATTTGTATCTCTCTCTCTCCCACTCTTTACCTCTCTCTCTCCTTTTTCTCTCCCCTCTCTTTCTCTCACTACCTTCCTCTCATTTTCTCTCTCTATCCCACTTTCTTTTTCCTGAATTCCCTCTCTCTCTATCTCTCCATTTCTCAATCTCTCTCTCCTTCTTTCTTCCTCTCTCCTTCTCCCTCTTTCTCCCTCTCTACCTTCCCTTTTCTCCCTCTCTCTCCCTCTTTATTTTGCTCTCCCTCTTTTTCTTTCTCTCTCCCTCTTTCCCTCTCTCACTTTCTCTCACCCTCTCCCTATCTACCTTTTTCGTTCTCTCCGTCCCTCTTTTTTCACTCTCTCTCCCTCTCCCTTTCCCTCTTTATCCCTCCCTCTCTCCCGCTTTTTATCCATCTTATTTTTATTTCTCTCCCTCTCTCCATCTCTCTATCCTTCTTCTCTTTCTCTCCCTCTCTCTCTTCTCTCGCTATTCTCCCCCTTCCTTCC